TCCCTACGCCACACTTTTTTTTGTTTTTGTTTTTTGGACACTTAATAATAAATAGGGTGCCCTGACCTGGATAGCCTGAGCAAGTCCGATCTCGTCAGATCTTAGAAGCTAAGCAGAGCTGACCCTGGCAAGTATTTGGAAGGGAGATCTCCAAGGAATACTAGGGCTGGGACTCAGAGGCAGCAATAGCAAGCCACCTCTCTGAAACGTCCAAGCCCCAATAGGGGTCACCAGAAGTCAACCTTGACTTCCAGGCACACACACATACATACACACAAAAAAAACCCTCATCAAAAATAATAAATAGGGTGTTTTCTTGTCCATTGAAGTGACCTTGTAGAGATTTACTCAAAGCCCACCGAAATAAGTGAGAGCAGCTTAGCTATCACCTTTATGTTTGGGGAGAGAAGTGACCTGTTTGAGGACAGAATTTATCAGTTTGTAGAAGTGATCAGAAATTTCATGGATGATTTATTCATGAAATATCTGTTCAAATCTATGAGCTGAAAACTTCTGTTCCTAGAAAGAAGAAGAGATTGGATTTATACCCCGCCCTTCACTCCGAGTCTTACAAACCCCTTTCCCTTCCCCTCCCCACAACAGACACCCAGTGAGGTAGGTGGGGCTGAGAGAGCTCTTTCAAGAACTGCCCTTTCAAGGACAGCTCTTGTCAGAACGATGACTTGCCCAAGGTCATCGAGCAGCTGCAAGTGGAGGAGTGTGGAATCAAACCCAGTTCTCCCAGATTAGAGTCCGCACATTTAACCACTACACCAAACTACACCAAAGAATACACCAAAGAATATAAATGAAGTGGAACATATAGCATCAAGAGAACACAATTACATTAGGAGCATGACATGGAAAGGAATACAGACATTCTTGCTCACATGGAAACTTGTATGTTCACTGAAGATGTAGTGTAAGCTTCCTTGCATGTGTTTGTGGCTTTTATTTTCTAAGTTATGAGCCTTCTCCTCTTCTTCTGTACCCCAAGCAACTTGGCTTGTGGACTGGAGGGAAGAGAAGGATACTGAACTGGAACCACAACAAAAAGTTCAGGAGCAAACTGTGAATGTTGGCATGTCTATTAAAGACTTCCTATGTTCACAGCTGTATGCTGTATTACCATTTCAGCAAAAAAAAGTGAGATACATGGATGGAATGGGAAAAAAAAGGAAAAATCATATAGCAGCTCTGCAAGTTTAGTTCCAGCTATGAGTCATGGAACAAAGGATTCAAATGTAAATTGCAAATACAAAAGTCCATTCAATACACCAATAGTACTTCAATTGAGTAGAATCCTCTGTTCCTGTGTGTATAATGCAGAGGCAAATTCTAATTGGTCTTAAATTCCTATAGGATGCCATTCTAAGTAGAGTTATGTACTTAAGTGCTGTCGAGTTGCAACCAACTTATGGCAACCCCAGCAAAGCAAGTGATAAGCAAACTCTTCCTTGATGGTCTCCCTCCAAGCACCAACCCTACTTAGCTTCTGAGATCTGAAAAGATTGGGCAGTACCATGCCATTTTCCATCTCCTAAGGAGAGTTAAAGTGAAGGTAAAGGTTTCCGTTGCTCGATAGTTCTAAATCAATGGGTTTAGAAGTGTGCAATTCTGCCTAGGATTGCACTGTAGGTATGCACATAAACATGGTAAAACTGTTCTTGGGCTATACTGATCGCAACATTGATCAATCTTTGTATCAAAAACTCTTTGCATTTACAATTTAGAAAGGTTCCCAATTAGTTTTGTCCCTAGTGTAGTTTCTTATAAAGGGATGCTTTTCACGGAGAAGCATTTAAAACATAATATCTCCACATATGCAGAATTCATACAGTCTAGGTATAAATTTTCAAATTATTCTTTTCTCGTATATTGTGAGCCAGTACCGTGAAGAGGAGAGGTCAGTAGCATGATCAAGCCGGTCACAGCCCATTCCTTGAGGAGGACTTCGCTCCATGTCCTTTTAAATTGTGTGAAACAAACGCTATATAGTTCCCTGGCCAAGTTCACATGTTTGCCAGGCTTTGTGGGGTTTGCACTTATATATTTACTGATGTTGGGTTCTCCAAAAAGGGGTTTGGCCTAGTCTTTAGACTTCTCACCTATTATGGTATTTGTCCCATTGTCATGGGCTTCTAATCTGTTTTCCCTTCCTATTGTACACTACCTATTTTCCCGTTTAAGTGATTATTTCCTGTGTAATAGTCTATCAGATATCTTGCTGTAGTCCAAACAGAGCAGATCAGCTCTGTTTCCCTTGTCCAGAAAACCAGGTTTGTGTTTTTAAAAAGACTAGTCAACCTTTGATCTCTTGGTGTCTTTCATCTCATTTGCCCTTTCCTTTTTAGAAAACTCAGAAAAGCAGCCTAAATCATGGACATTTTGAAGAGATTAAAGTTTACAGTTAACGAAGCTTGCTCTATGAAGTTTGATCCATTCCCCCCACCTCCCCAATATATCAATGCCAAACTAGAAATACTCAGGTGAAAGAAGTTGAAAGTTCAAATGATGTAAAATTTATTCCCAGTAAGCTTAATTTAACTAAGCCAATAATACACCTTAAACTTCTTTTCAGTTCAAATTACTTTAATGAAGGTGTTAATTACTGAGGGATTAACACTGCTTCCAAGTGATAATGGATGTGGTCAATCAATAAAGGGTTAGAATAATATGGTTTTAAGGAACACAAGAAGCTAGCAAAGGATTACTTGCTGGGAATGGATGATATTTCAAAGTAGCTGTTAGAGTAAATCTGAGTTGTAAGAGTCCTTCCCCCTCCCCACACTTTAAGTCACAGCGGGTTTGGATGGTGAAATTCTTTCTCCATCACTAGAGCAAAATATTTCTACTTCGGGTACAGTGACAAGTCAAAAGAGCCAAAGTAATTGAAGTTAACAGTGATCTAGTTTAAGTGGCATAATACCAAAAACCCTTCCAAGCTCACATTGATCTCAAAGGCATGGGTAAAATTAAAACCAGTATCTACCTGGATAAATTGGAATGCCGTTTGGATAGAAGGAAAAGTGCTACATAGAGAAGACAGTAAATATAAATAACGAAATTGAAATGCAGATATTGACCACAGTTAGTATGACTGTAGTAGAACAATAGGAGATGGAAGCTAAAATTATTTACTGTGAGTTGTCAAAGGCTATAAAAGTGTCAGTTCACCTGCATGTATTGGTGGAACACTGTGATTTAAGACTTGGTCTTGAATGGTTCTCCTTGTTCTCTGAGTTGGGCAGGTGTTAGGCAGTTCTCCTGTATGGTGTCCAGTAGGGATCCATCCTGTCTCTCTTTGTATGCAGTGTCTGTATGAGGAACCTCAATGAGATTTTATGGAGATAACGTGTTGCTGATGAAACCCACCTGTATTTTTCATCTAGAGCAGTTCCTGTGGTGATCACTGTATTATACAGGGTCTGGCAATAGACTGGGAACTACAAATGAAAGAAACAATCTAACATCAGTGCTGATAAAATGGAAGTAAAGTCAGTTGGCAAACAGTGTTCCCTCTAAGCTGAATTAGTATGAGTTAGCTCACAGTTTTTTAGCTTCCGGCTCACACATTGTTGTCTTAGCTCAGGAAGGATGGCTCCAGAGCAAACTAATTTATTCATTAGCCAAATCACCTGCTCACAACTTTAATGCTGGTAGTTCAGAAAGTAGAATTTTTGCTCACAAGACTCAGCAGCTTAGAGGGGGCGTTGTTAGCAAGCCCTTCGATATGGAAGAGATTGGAAGATCCTTCATAGTTCTCCCTCTTTCCCCTTGTCACTCAGATCCACAGTGCTGTGTGCCCCCAAGGGATGTTCAGCTGCATCTAAAAGCAAGGGGCAGAGGTGTCCAGGGTCATCTTCCAGCCACATTTGAGAAGGCTATCTTTGTGCCACGGATTATGGGGAGGGGAATGCTGTGATGCATCAAATTATTGGGCAGTAGTCTTCTTGCATATCCATTAGCTCAAGAAGCCTGAGAGGCTGGTAGCAGGAATAATTAATGCCAGACATACAGCTAGTCCATAGTATTCCTCCACCCCTTTTGCTAGCCATAATGGCCAGAGAATTCAGGCCAGTGCCAGCTGATTCAAGATTGTTGACTAGTAATGAAAACTCTGCCCTTTATAGTATTGGGAAGGCAAAATTCTCTGATTGCTGCTTACTGACTTTTCTGTTACTGAAATTACTTGTTTGTTGTTGTTTTAATATATGCACACTTCAGTTAGCAAATTGAAGAAGGCAGAATAATTGTGAGAATTAATATGACAGCACATAATTAAAGGCAAAGTTCTTTTGAGTGACAAGTAATGAAGAGAGAGAATCCGCACTCAGAGGTGTATTGTTTCAGTTTCTGTGATTACTGAAAGACTGACATTCTCCTAAGAATCTGCACATCCCATGCAGTTGTTTATAGCAATTGCTTCAGACATGCTAAAAAGGAGCTTTTAGTGCATGCTATACAAGCAATAGAAAAATCATGACTTTTGCCTAAAAATAATTTGTACTGTACTTTCTATTTATTATTTGGAGAATTTTTGAAGTAGAAAAGCAGCCCATAAATTTTCTAAAATCCCCAAACCCACATGTTTTATAATTTAAAAAACAAACTTGTTTAAAGCAATTAAATTAAAATAAATTGCAATAAAACTATTAACAACTTCAATGCATAACAAAAATATTAAAGCCAGCTTTTTAAAAAAAGACAGGCAAAACTACAGAGCACAGACTAAAACTGTGGTCTCAAGCTGTTATAGGTATTTTTAAAATTTTACCTAGGAACATTATTCTAAGATAAAAAGAAGCTGGGGAAGAAGTATTTTTTTGGGGGAAAGAAATCTTTAGCATGCAAACCTCTAAAAATTGGCACATATGCCGAACATTTAATAATTCGGAGACATTGTCCCCAAGCATGACACAAAATAGATTTGACAGAAGTCAATATATTGTGCTAGCTGCTTCATTATCAAAATGATCATACTACAAGCAGGAGACCTTCAAGGACTTGCAGGAGGGCATTTCATTTTCCCCTCCCCATTTTTCCTCTTTCCCTTTCCTGAAAGTCCCTATAGCCTCTCCCCTTTTCCCACTTACAATCCCACCTACCTTTATCTGCCCCAACCCCATCTTCAGGTTTTCCTCCTGGCTCCCCCTGGCAGCCACTTCCTGGGGAAATTCTGCATGGTTCTGGCTACTGGGCAGAGCCACACCCAGCTGCACAGTGACTGGCCCAAGGTCACCCAGTGAGCTTCCATACCAGAACAGGGATTCAAACCTAGGTCTCCCACAGCCTAGTCTGAAACTAACTACTTAAGTGAACTGGCTTTTGTGGGGTAGCTGCTGTTGAACAGTAGCAAGTAGCTGGGCATTTGTGAGTCATGGTATTCAAGTGGTATGAATTCGCCCATTGGTTGTTGGCAGGCCGATGAATCTTTTCTCAAAGACCAGAGTAACTCTGGAAAGGGCCCTGCTCCTTCTTCCTGACTTTTACTGGCAGAAACCAAGGCTTGAAGTACAGTTGCCAATCTCCAGGTACAGCGTGGAGTTCTCTGATGATTACAGTTGATCTCCAAACTACAGAGATTAATTCCCCTGGAAGAAATTGCACCTTTGGTGGATTGCATGGGATTACATCTCTGCTGAGCCCCCCCGCCAACTTCACCCTCCCTGGGCATCACCCCCAAATTTCCAGGAATTTCCTAAGTCACTGTTGATCACCCTAGCTTGAAGGCTGGCAATACTGTTGTGGTTGCCTAGCAGTGGTCACAGAGGGCATTTGTTTCTTAAAGTTGCTTCTGTTATTTTGGGGGCAGGTTAACCTCCCAAATATATGTTTGTGTGTTTTTAAGATCTTAGATTTTTCTGCAAACCTTAGGCTTTTCTCAGGTTTGTAGAAAGACCTGTCTTGTCTGTTCACATCTCCAATCTCTGGATGTAATTATTTGCAGATTTGGCCACATTGAGAATTAAATCTATTGACGCACAGTCAGAAACATTTGAGATTTGCAGCTCTTAAGGGACAATTTGTTGTTGTCTCATCAAGGAATGATACCACTTCCAAATCTAGAGATCGGTCCCACTGTTTTTCCACATCTTGGTGCTGTGTGAAAGATTTGTGGCTTGGCATAAGTAATTTTACTATGGAACATAAAGAGTCCTGTTGAACTGGGTCAGCAGTGTTCCCTCTAGTCCAGCAATCGGTTTGACACAATGGCCAACCAGTAACCCTGGAGGCCCAGCAGGAAAGGCAAAGAAGTTAGACAAGGAACTAGTTTCTATGAATGTTAGCGTGGGAAGATAACAGATAAAATATCATGAAAACAAAATAATAACCACACACTGGTTTAAAAATTATTATGACGTATCCTTTTTAATACCAGTCAAAAGTGGGCTGTGGGGAAAAAAACCTATTAAGAAATCTGCAGAATGTTTTGTTGCCTTCTGATGACAAACGTTTTAAGTAGAGAGGCTTGTGTTGTCTTCATGGATTCCTCTGTCGCCCCAACAACAACTCCTTGCTCTTTATTTCCTCTTTTCCCCTTCTCCATGTCTCAAAGTAGTCAATGTTTAAGCCTTCAAGTTTAAAAGCTTTGCTTCTATGTTCCTGGCTGCTCTGAATGTGATTTATGTTAAAATGTCCCCCCCCCCCAAGGATGGAGAACCCTTTTACTCATGGGGGGGGGGGAAATCCCTATACAGTGTTCAAGCACATCTATTTTAACATTCCTGTCTTGGCTCAGACACTGTCATAGCTCTTAGTTTCTTGTAGAATGACCCCCCCAAAAGTATTCTTCTCCTTTGAAAATTATAAACAGAGTTTCTATATTTTAAAATCTTAATATATTTATTGCACATAAATTGATCTATACATATAAACAGTTACATAGAGAACAGTGTCTTTTTTGCAGAAAGAATACATGAATCAGATTGAAGTGAACTCACTTTTGTCCAAGAGAACTGAACTGTTACATATTTGGAGGAAGACTTCTACACACTGTACAAAAATATACTTGGAAGGACTTGAAATTTCTGTAGTAAGAAACTTAACCAAAAGTAGAATTTACCATTCCTAAGTATTGCTGAATATTTTGCCACTGTAGGCTGTTTGTGTTTCCTTTTAGTGATACGAGTTAAGCATTAAGTACACTTGGAGTTCTGGGACAAAAATAAACATAACTGTAGTAAAGAAACCAACTCCCATTAGTATTTCAAAGGGGAAACTGAACTTTAAACATACTATAGCATTTAAATTGGGTTTAACCATTAAAAAAACTGAGAATCAAAAATTAAATAGAGCTGTAACTTGCGGCAGCATATTTTTTCAGACAGTTGGGGGGAATGATCTTGGAGAAGAAGAAGAAGAAGAAGAAGAAATATGCTTGTGGCTTGCTTGTGTGTAACTTCTGTGGGCT